ATTTTTCCGTAATAAGTTTAACGCTAACAGACATTAGGAAAATCCACAGATATAAATCAACAACACTTCTTAGTACAGTAAAATAAAAATGCATTTAGCATAGATTAAAGTATATCCCATTGCGTGTCCTAATTCCCTACCCATAAAACCCTATAACCACCGTTTTCATAGGAAAACATGCAGGGCGTAGGGATTAATAAGTGGGCCTACATAAGCTACTGTTGCCCCAAGTTCTAGTGGTAAATAAAAACTGAGTTACGATGTGCTCAGCTCTCGATTGATTTGTTCTCATATAGATAATGGCCACATAGCCCTTTCAGCTGAGAACGCTCTTATTGAGTCTTCGCTGAGTCACTTACGTTGTCAATAGAGGTGAAGCACAGTTTTTTAATCGATTTTTCCAAAAAAATCGTTTAAAACTTATCGTGATAGCAGGACTGACAGAATATTCAACTTAAGGCAAAGCTGCTAAAAGTTGTATGGAGAGATAGGTTTTACACCTAGTGACATCAATATTATAAGTCAATAGGCTTGTACACTATATTATTATATATTTTATTAAAGTATTATTATATTTTCTGCGGATATTTCCTTGCCTAATTTGAGCAGTCAATTTGGCAAACAAATGTTTTCAGCAAATCTTCATCAGGCCAAAACATTTGCAGGGGCATTGAGAACTGTACAGTTGAACAAGGTTAGTAAGGGCATTCTGATCGTTTACACGCCGCCCGCATGGCAAGGTGAGCGTGTAGAGGTTCTTGTGTTGGGAGAGAGGGGAGGAGGTGGGAGAGGGAATTGGGTTAGGTTGTGGGCGTTGATCAGAGGTCAAATACATTGAATGCTAATTGCTGCTGTTTGCCCGAAGCGAATGACTGTCACTAGGGTGTGGAGGCGAAATGCGATCGTCACCTGGCGGCGGGGTCGGCCACGGAAGAGCAAGGGCTTGTGCCAGCGTCTTCTGACAACACAGCACTGGATTCGCTAGCCGCATAGCCACTGCTTCGGCTGTTGAAAGCACCCGTTGGCGTAGGCCCTTGGAAAAGTTGGCTGGCGTCCGGTAGCAACCTGAAGGGCTTCGTTAGTATCGACTTGATGATTCGTATCGACAAGATGTACGAAAATAGAACTCGAGATCGATCTAGTCACACCCTTACTTAACTAGGCCGGTATGTGCTCAAGTACCCTCTTTTCCAGGCGCCTCGTTGTTCTGCCGATGTATCCTGCTCTACAGGAACAAGTGGAAGCGTAAATGCACATGGGCGTGGGCTTCAATGAGAGTCGATCTTTACCTCCCAATCGTCGGAGGGGACGGTTCGTGAAGAACACCTGTAAGTTCGCCGCTAGGAAAGTGCTTACGATTGCGGTCCTCAGGGGTCACCTGAGCAGCTGGCTTGTTGCATCGCCAAAAAAAGGCAGCCTTATGAACGCGCCTTTAGTTTCTGCGGTTAATATAGCAGGTTTTGGGCGCGTTTACCAATATTTCTGAGGATGAACCTTTCCGGGTATCCATTTTCAATAGGTGTATGCTGCAGCTGTTGGAGTTCTGCTTCGACACTTTCAGGAGATCAAATCTCTCGGGCTCTAGCTGCTAACCGCTGAACTAGATATCGGTTTATATTTGGGGGGAAAAGTTGTGAAAGTTAGTGTATTGTCCCGTCCAGGTTTTCTTTCAGAATACCCTACCCAACATGGATCCGTCATCTTGCCTTCGCCGAATGACATCAAGAAACGCAATTTCATCGTCCATCTCAGTCTCTGCAAAAAACTTTGAGCGATGGATGCTCGCTGTTAAAGTTCGCGACCAGGGCGTCAGTGTCAGCGTTATAGTCTGTCAAGCAAAAGATGTCATCCACATATCGAGCATAGAAGGCAAAGTCATTAACGATGTCTCTTAGAATGGTTTTCTAGATCTTGCCCATAAAGACCTTTGCGAGAAACGGACCAGCGTTATTATTATATATTATATCAGTATAATATTATGTGACATTATTATAAACTTAATTAGTCGTAGTAAGTCATCTTAAAGCAGGCGCACAGTGATGGCCAAGTTAATACATAAAAACCATACGTGGCGCATTGATATTCAAAATAATTTTACTCACAAAATATAGGAGTGCCATTTTTAATTCCTTCATTTCCTCCTTTTCCGTTTTCCCTCTACAAACCGCTTTAGTACGCGAAGGCAAGACAGTTTCTCAGTATATTCAATTTAGAATATTTGTTTGAGGAAACAATTACGGGGCGATATTTTCGTTCAAATTCCCTTACCGAAATGACACGGGTTTTATCTGTTTTGAAAAAAAA